GGGAAACCTTTCAGCCCTCCAGGCCCAGGTCTGCTATTGACATCAGTTGTACATATTCAACAAACTACGGAAGAAGCTGTAAGTATCCACAAAGGGGGTGCTAGCACATGCACGAATAAGCATGCATCTGACAGATGACCCATGTTCACTTTGGGGTAGAGATTAAATGTTTAAACGAATAACAGATCCTAAACATCAAGAGGTGAATCAGGAACATGAAGGCACTTAAACACACAGCGTGTAAACTGGGCAGTCTGTAGTTGGGGTTTCTAATCAGGAGAAAGTTACAGAAATCAGTCATTTGTCCAAATACAGCTGCAGTTATGTGTGGAATGGGTCAGTTAGTGTCTGGCAGTGGGTGAGCTGCAATGGTTTTTTATCTTTTTTGAGACAGTTTTATTTTGTCACCCTCGGTAGAGTGCTGTAGCATCATAGCTCACAGCAACCTCAAACTCTTGGGCTCAAGTGATTCTCTTGCCTTACTCTTCCGAGTAGCTGGGACTACGGTTGCCCGGCACAATGCTCAGCTTTTTTTAGTGACAGGGTCTCACTCTAGTGCGGGTTGGTCTTGAACCTGTGAGCTCAGGCAATCCACCTTCTTCAGTCTCCCAGAGTGCTGAGATTACAGCATGCACCACCACACCAAGCCTGCAATGGTCTTGTGCAATTATTTTAATATTATTGTGAAGCCAATGCTTGTTTATCTCCTAGAGAAAAAGGAAAACCTGTGACAGTTACAACATATTTTATTTATGTGGAGGGGGTACATGACTTAACACTTGCCTTGCAAAGTCTTAGGCCTTGTTTATAATTTGGTATTTTATTGTCACATAGTTCATCCTTATGTGTTGGTCAGTTGTGTCTAAACCACGTAAAGTGAGGGGGTATAATGAGACGTGTCTGACTTCCAGTCTTCTCATGGCTGGGGACTCCGTTTTTAAGGTTTCTCTGGGGTCCTGTTGGCCAAGAGGGGGTCTATTCAGTGGTGGGAGGGGCTTAGGATTTTATTTTTAGTTCTCACCTTGATACCACCATCCTGTGGACTTCATGAAGCTTTTTTTTTTTTGAGACAGAGCCTCAAGCTGTCCCCCTGGGTAGAGTGCTGTGGCATCACAGCTCACAGCAACCTCCAACTCAACTCCTGAGCTCAAGCGAGTCTCCTGCCTCAGCCTCCCAAGTAGCTGGGACCACAGGTGCTCACCACAACGCCCAGCTATTTTTGGTTGCAGCTGTTGTTGTTTGGCAGGCCCAGGCTGGATTCAAACCCACCACTTTAGGTGTATGTGGCTGGCAACTTAGCCACTTGAGCCACAGGAGCCAAGCCCTTTTTTTTTTTTTGAGAGAGTCTCACTCTGTTGCCCTAAGTAGGGTGCTGTGGCGTCACAGCTCACAGGGCGTAAGCAATTAAACAATTTTCTTGCCTCAGCTTTCCAAGTAGCTGGGACTACAGGTACCCGCCACAATGTCCAGCTGCAATTTTTCTGTTGTAATTGTCATTGTTACTTAGCTGGCCCAGGCTGGGTTTGAACCCACCAGCCTGGGTGTATGTATCCGATGCTGTAACCACTGTGCTAGGGGAGCTGAGCCATACTTCATGAAGCTTTTTGTAGGCCTGGATCTCTCCCTTCCTTCCCTGGCCCAAGGACACATGCAGGGATGAGTCTGCTATATACCCCATCCTAATCCCAAATTACCAATGCCTTCTTGGGCAGCTTCCTTAGAGTTTCACAAAAATCCTTATGCCTGGCTCAGCGCCTGTGGCTCAAGCAGCTGGAGCATGTGGGGTTTCAAGGACCTAGTACTTAGGAAGTATGGACCCCCAGGTCTACTGAGCTCTAATGCAAGGAGTAAAGGAGAAAGAAAGGCGTGGACTTATTAGGGATGCAGCAAGTAGAACCCTGGATTTTGACTGCACTCACACAGCCGCCCTCTTGGCAACATCCATCATGCCTCTCCTCCCATGGGTCCTAGTGCTGGCAGGGGCACTGCTGCTAGAAGGGGAGGTAACATGAGTGCATGCCTGGCACTGCCCCTAGTTCTCCTCTCAGGCCCTAAGCAGAGCTGCCCAGGATGACACATTATTTTTGGAAGCTACTAGAAAAGAGAGAATAGGAGATACCTATGCCTGCCAATAGGACATAAAGGTGATGGAGGTCACACTCTCCCCAGCTGCCCAGGGATTTTAACACTAACACTCCCCTGGGGTTTCCAGGCCTGATACTCAACTGGTGCTTTTAAGCAGGTCCCCAGATGTCTTTCAGATCTGACTGGACCCCTAGACAAAGGTTTGTCTCACGTTCACCATAGGGCAGACACCTTGGGAAACCCAGAGTGGGATCAACTCACAAAGTACTTGCTTCTCTCATCTTCTGGGTCTCTTCCTAAGGAAATCTGGGCACGTCTGCACCAAGTGCTTCCTGAGAAAAGGCTTGTCAAAAGTATAATTTTCAAATATGTAAAAAAATGACTCATACAAATATAGAATGAAAACATCAAAGATCTGGTGGCACCTGTAGCTCAGTGGGTAGGGCGCTGGCCACGTACACCGAGGCTGGCAGGTTCGAATCTGGCCCAGGCCAGCTAAACAACAACAACTGCAACAAAAAAAAAATAGCTGGGCATTGTGGTAGGCGCCTGTAGTCCCAGCTACTTGGGAGGCTGAGGCAAGAGAACTGCTTAAGCCCAAGAGTTTGAGGTTGCTATGAGCTGTGACACCACGGCACTCTACCCAGGGTGACAGCTTGAGACTGTCTCAAAAAAAAAAAAAAATCCAAGTTGTAATACAGCCAGGTGCAGTGATTCACACCTGTAATGCAGTACTTTAGGAGGCTGAAGCCAGAAGTTAGAGACCAGCCTGGGCAATATGGTTAGACCCCAACTCTGCAAAAAATAAAAAATCTGCCAGGCATGGTGGTACAGGCCTATAGTCTCAGCTACTCAAAAAACTGAGACAGGAGAATCACTTCAGCCCAGGAGTTTGAGGTTACAGTGAACTGTGATGATCTGCACTCCAGCCTGGGCAACAGAGCAAGACCTGTCTCCAAAAAAAAAAAAGTCAAACACAGCCCCCACGATTAGGGTCACCAAATTTCTGTAAAGGACCAGGCATGCAGGTCTCAGTCACAACTATGCCATGTAACACAAAAGCAACCACAAACTATGTGTAAATACATGGGCATGATGTACTCCATGAAACTTTACTTACAAGAACAGGCTGGATTTGGTCTCGCTGCCCTCATAATTTGCCAATCTCTGCCCTACATAATTAACTCTTGGTTAGGTCCATCCAACAATATCTCTAGTATGACGTTGTCAGAACATGCCATATTCTGCCCTTTCACTTTATTTCTAAGGCTGGATAATTTTTTTTTTTTTTGCAATTTTTGGCCCTAACTGGGTTTGAACCCACCACCTCTGGCATATGGGGCCAGCACCCTACTCTTCTGAGCCACAGGCACTGCCCTGGATATTTTTTCTTTTTTTTGAGATAGAGCCTTAAGCTGTCCCCTGGGTAGAATGCCGTGGCAT